CAGGGGCCATGCTGCCTGTCAGCTGTCCGCTCCCCAGGGGCTGCCATCCTGTCCCCAGCATGCACTGGCCCAGTGGCAGGGAGATGAGGCGGGATGGGGACTGCGATGGGATGGAGTTGGGATGGGAACACGGAGATGCTGGGATGGATGGGGTGGCTTTTACCGGGGAGGTACAGTGCTGGAGCCTGAAGCAGGCAGGTGTGTGGGGGCCAGCAGCTCGAGGAGCAGGGAAAGCCCTCGGTGTGCTTAGAGAGGCTTAGCCAAGGCAGCGGTGCTGGAGCCCCAGAGCCACGTTGGAACCAGGAGGGCTGCCCCAGTGCACGGCAGGACAGGCCTCAAGCGGGGCCCGGAGCAGCCCCACTGCAAGGAGCTGGCCCGAGCCCATCAATCATGCTTTCAGAGCTGCTTCGCAGGCTCCTGTCCGCCTTCATGAGTGCCTGGAGGCCTTGCAACATCTGGCAGCTTGACTGAGCGTTAATCAGAGGCCTTTAATCACTGTCACCGTGCCACAAGCCCTCAGCAGTGCTGGGCCAGCTCCCTGTCTCCAGAGGCCGGATTCTGTCACGTCCCAGCGGGAAGGCAACACCCCGAACCTCCAGACTGTGGAAGCTCCATGTCTTTGGGAAGGGAGGATCTCCCAGCAAAGGACATTCACAGTGTCCCATCCTGCCTCTGCCTCTTCCCAAAACCACCCCCCGGGCTGTGGGGGTTCTCTAGTGTCTGATAACACGAGCTTTGTATAGCTATGGTAGGTCAGGGCTGGTGACACAGGCTGCGGGCTCCCAGTTTAGTCCTCTTTGGGGGGTACTGCTGTACTGGGCTGGGAGGGATCCTCCTGCCCTTGCACGCCAATCCGGGAGAGGTGCCAGTGTGCTGAGTGTGGCTTCCCTCCTCGCAGGGCACAGCTTACTACGTCCAGGTGTCTGCCTACAACATGAAGGGCTGGGGTCCCCCACAAGCCTCTGTGCCCCCTTTTGCCATCCCTTCCAGTAAGTACCACTGGGAAACACCTGTGGGAGCCAGCTCCAGCTGCAGGGCGGATGGGGGGAGGCGGCAGCTCCCTGTGCCATCCGGGGATCTCTCTCACTGCTGGGTGGGGTCTACAGGACCCGGGAGCAGAGGCGGCATCTGGGGTCTCGGGCCAGGGCGGGAGGCTGTGTCTGGGGGTCTGTGATGCTGCCTCCAGCTGACAGGAGTGTGGCCAAATGTTTATTTTTCAACCTGAAATTTTCCTGGTTGCCTGGTACAGGCTGAGCCATTTTATGCCACCTGGATCAGCTCATCCTGGGAGAGCATGCTTTACTTTCTCAGTGAAAAGGGAAGCAATGCAGCCATCTCCTCTGTAGGAAGGAAAAACTCTCCTGGGGGTTTCAGCAGAGGTTTATAATTTAGCAAGGGCAGCTTTTGTGGGGGGTTGGTCCTTACCACCTCAATGACGCCTGGGACAATGTGGCCAAGCTTATGTGAGCCCATGCTGAGGGGTGACATGGTGGGATGCCCCAGCTCAGCCCCTGGAGGTGCCCCCCAGGGCTCTGAGCCATCCCAGGCCTGGGTGGCAGTGAGCCTGGAACCCTCCCTGTGCCACCGCATGCTCTCACCCAGCCCCAGGGACCTGCCTTCCCTGGCACTGAGCTGAGATGGGGTCATGAGCCCAACCAGAAACCAGCTCTGAGCTGTCAGCACACACCACCCCATGCTGGAGCAGGGCAAGCAGGGCAGGAAAGACCACCCAGTGTCACCCAAGGCACCCCAGGGTGCTGGGGGAGACGCCAGGAGGTCTGAACTGGCAGGAGCAGCCCCAGAGGGAAAAAAAGGCAGGCTCCAAGGTGGCCTCTGCCCCTCGCCACCGGTCCTGAGACAGGTCCCTGCTGCATGGCAGCCCCACAGGACCAGCACAGTGGGATGTGTGAGGAGCTGCGTGCAGCGGGTTCCCTGCCACCACCCTACCCAGGGAGCACGCTGCCTGTGCGCAGCAAACAGCGCCCGCAGGTCAGGGTGCAGGGCTGAGCACGTGCACGGCGATGGGCAGGAGGTGCAGGTACCGTGCGTAGCTCCGGCTGCAGACGGACCGGCAGGGAAAGATGCAAAAATGCATTTGCACGTCTGTTAATGCGCATAGCGAGCCTGTGCGCACATGGCGTTGCCCGGCCTTTACCCTCTCCTGGCAGCCTGTGTCGGCTGTATTTGCACCCACTCGAAGCCGCTTTGCCATCCCGCACGCGTCACATTCCCCATGACCAAGCTCCCCGCAGCATCGACACAGCGTGCGGCTGAAGTGAATCAGGCGTGAGTGGGTTTTATTTATTTTTATCTCCATTAATATTTCTCCCTTCAGTAAAGATCCCTCCCTGGCCCAGCAGAATATAGTCAGGCACCTCCCTGGGTGTTTTTAAAGCTCCTAAAAATAGTGGCAAGCCCCAGCCAAAGTTAACAGAGCTGAACTTTCCATGGAAAACAGCAGCAGGCAGGACACAGGGGGGGTTTAAAGCAATTAATGTAAAGCTAATGTCGGAGCGCCGGCGGGTCCCC